TACTATCGCGGCCACGGTTGTCACGGCTGTTTGAGCGGTTTCTAGATTTGCTACGAATTCGGCTTTCTAGAGCTTCCACCTGTTTTGTCAGCTGTTCTACCTTTTCTCGTAAATCTGTTGTTTCAGAGGACTCAGAAATATCGGTATGTTTAACAACTGCCGCTGTTGCAATTTGCCCTATAGCTGGTGTGACTTCCATTATCTTATCTGCGATAATGGCCAGTTGATCGATTGATACTGTATCACCTGTGGGCGCGAGGATAAGTTGCGCATTTGTAGGGAGCCTCTGCAAAAACAACTGTTTCAGAATGCTCTCTTCTAATGAATGATCACCTAGTAATTGAAGTTGTGTGGGTTTTCGGTCGCCTAGCTCTTCTGATATTAGAAGTTGATGTAAGCGTTTTTGCTCAGATGCCGAAGTACGTTTGATTAGTTCTTCCTTTAACTTGTCATAAGGTTGGTCACCAGGAGCTTGTAAAAGTAAATCTCGTACTTCAAGGGCTATTTCTGGCTGCAAGGAAGACACAACATATGCATATTTTGTCTGCTGTTGTGTGATACCACGCGTCGCAAATTGCGCTTCAACCTGGGCAAACCAAACTCGCGGATCATTTGGCCAGTAGGGCGGCAATTTTAAACTAACCGCGTATTGTTGATTGCCGAGCTGTGCATGTGACGAATGAGGTTTCTCCTCCTCTGTCGCCATAGTCTGTTGCCTTAGATTTTATAGAAACAAACAAACAACCCTGCTGAATATCTGATTCAAATGGTGGAACAGGAATTTCAAAGTAATCAAATACAATGAATAGCACTATTGTGGCGCGTCTAAATGCCTTAGCAAAGTATGCGCATCCAATTCAAAGGATCGAAACAATTCGTTGTACCACTTCTTTTTTCAATGTGGATTTGGCATGCAGGCCGTCATACAATTGTGAGAAGTCGTTGCGTAACGATGTATTGTGATGACCTGATCTATTTTTGCGCTTGCTTGGCTTTCTGATAGAGGTATGCCACGAGAGTGTACGTGTGCTAATTCCTAACTGTACTTCGTTGTTGAATTCTCGAATACGTGTGTTAGCTTGGTCTAATAAAAAATCCAGTTGTTTTTGGTTATAGCTCAGTTCTTCAACAGACAAAATGGGTGAAGATAAATGCTTACTGGCCTGAAACTTGGCAAAAGATGCTGAGGGAATGGTAACAATTGAAATTACTGTTGTTGGCCTACAAGCTAGAATTTGCTGTTTATAGCGGTTAAACTTTGCAAATAAACCATCCAAAGAAAGGTTGGATTTTTGTAAAACCTTAGTACGAGAATGGGCACAATGCACAAATTCTGTAAGATCGTTTATACCGGCAGCTAGCTTTATGATAGTAAAATAAAAATCACCGAAACTACGCAATTTAGTCAAAGTTGGTATCACAAGATCGTCAAGTGTGGCACCACGTTGAATGACGAAATCTATACTCAAATTACTGAAAGCAGGTCTTATATACTGATCAAATGAATAAGCCCTAGAATCAGCAACAAATAATTGACGAACTTGTGTAGGCATAATTATACTTCTTGTTCGAATGTCAGGGTCACCAATTTTGTGGGTGCCAAATTAGAATAATAAATTGAATAATTTCTGTGGCTAACTTTGCCAAAAAGATTACGTTATGTGGCTAACTTTGCCAAAAAGGGAAATAAAATTTGACAGGCTTTTGTCTATAAATTATAAGATAATCTGGGCAGTATTTTCTTGCCGATGAAAATTAAATAAGGTTCGTATTTACTTATAAATGCTGAAGAAAAAAATAAAAGGAACCACCTGGGTTATCGGTAAAGGTAATAATTAAATGCGATGTCACCGTAGCTCACCTATTAGCTGTATGCTACTGCCAAACCGGTTCACTACGGCAACGAAGCAAAAACTCACGGACTAAATATGAATGAAATAAGAAGACTTGAATTGCGGAGCGTGACGATGTAGGCCTGTCTTGCTGCCGGTTGAGCTAACACGGAACTGGGGGCTCGTGCATGGAACCAATGCTGCTTTATAAGACAAAGGACACGCTTGGCTACTCGCGTTGCGTAAGTGCAGCTGCCAATAATAATACAAGGAATTCAGGCTACTACACATTTAAGCCCAGGTGCTTTCGGGCGAAGCGAAGCCGCTTGTCGGAATCCTCCCCTGTGATGGATTTGTAAATATACATAGCAACCCCCTCAGTCTTTGCCTCAACGTGCTTCGTGCATTCCGCCAGGAGATTTACGTAGAGCTGCTTCTCCTTCACGTCTTCTGCCGTGAGTGGCCCAAATTCCTCGACGTACTTCCGAAGCAAAGACATGACGTAGGCTACGTTGCTATCGTATCCCGTCTCAGTACAGGCTTTCAGTAGCTCTAGTCGCCTTGGTCTGTGCACCTCCAGAGCTGACTTGGCCTGAATCACAATTGCCAAACGAACCGTAATCACTCCCTCCTCATTTATTACTGGTTTTTTGTTGTATATTTATTTTTTTCCGTGTTCTTTTCTTTCTTACTTCCTCTTTGCCTGCTCCCTTGGTTCGCATGTCTTAACCCTTCTCTTGTGTACTCGTTTTCCCTTTGCTAGCCCCGACCACCGCAATCCGAAGTCGCTAATTAAACCCCTCAAGTCTTCTAAACCATTCAAAACGGAAAAAAACCTCTAGTTTCCGGGGTTTTGCTTTATAAATAAACTCGGATTAAAAAATATGGCCGTGCCTGGGGAACCTGAGCCTCACAACGTTTCACCTTCGAACTGTGGTCTCTGGATTTTCCAAATAACACTTGCGTTTAATAAAACATAAACAGCCTCGAGTCGATTACATGCACATTTACAAAGTCAACGCCTTTTTTTTTTTTTTTTCCCCCCCAAATGTATTTACATCATATATATATATATATATAAATATATATGTCATTTCAAACGCCTGCGATTTAACCACCTGGAGCCTGTTTAAACGTTCTTCACGTTCCCTTTCTCTTGACCAAACTTCGACTCCGTCAATGCTCTGCCCTGGCCAACTTTGCGGTGCTCACACTCCTTAGGACTCTCCACTTATCCACCGTCTTGAAATAAGATCCGGATCTATTCATCACTTACTAACCAATTGTTAAGCCTCATGTTGCACGCAACTTTAATAGCTTCACACCTCATTTGATGATTACCCAAATAATAGCAAATAGACGACTTTTAGCCCTTTAAACGCTCTCCGGTCGTACCTGCCCGTGTTACCCCAACCAAACTCCAAATTATATGCTAAACTGAAATATAGTTTTCCTTGGACGACTTTGAGCGTCCCCCGTTTGTTGTTTTTTGCACAGCCTTGAGCCTATTTTTTGCTCCGCAGGCTCCTCAGATGCGTCATCACCAGGCTTCAAACGTGCGATCTTACTTTTCAGCCAAACTTGTTCTTTACATGCCCTGAGCCTTTAACTTTCACGCTCTTCAAGCTTCGTTACGGATATTTCGGTCTGTATGACCGTACTGCACTGTACGCAAGAGTGACTCGTTTTGAATCAACTAATAAATGTCATGCTGCCAACTAAAATTTACATTTTTTTTTTTTCTTCTTCTTCTTCTGGTTAATTGTTGGTTTGTTTTAGTAAACCTGGAGCCCTTTACCGTTCTTCGGATTCCTCTGGTCACTTTGGTTTGTTTCTAGTCAACCTGGAACGCAGATACTTCAGCCTCTGGCCGTTTTGGTTTGTTTTTAGACAACTCGGAGCCCTTTTACCGCTCTTCAAGTTTCCTGGTAGCTTGGTGTGTTTTTAGTCAACCTGGTGCACTCTTACCTACTTCAGCCTCTGGTCGTTTTGGTTGTTTTTAGACAACCTGGAGCCCTTTTACCGCTCTTCGGGTTTTCTGGTGGTTTGGTTTATTTTCAGACTACCTGGAGCCCTTTTACCGCTCTTCAGGATTTTCTAGTCGTTTGGTCTGCTCTTTAGACAACCGGAGCCCTTTTACCGCTCCTCGATTATTCTGATAGGTTGGTTTGCTCTCTGGACAACCTGGAGCCCTTTTACCGCTCTTCAAGTTTTTCTGGTATTTATTTATTTATTTATGTATTTTTTTTTTTCCCCCCTTCATTTTTTGACAACCTGGAGCCCTTTTACGCTCTCCGATTATTCTGGTAGTTTGGTTTGCTCTCTAGACAACCTGGAGCCCTTTTTACCGCTCTTCAGGTTGTTCTGGTAGTCTGGTCTGTTTTTGACAACCTGGAGCCCTTTTTACCGCTCTTTAGGTTTTTCTGGTAGTCTGGTCTGTTTTTTGACAACCCGGAGCCCTTTTACCGCTCTTTAGGTTTTTCTGGTAGTCTGGTCTGTTTTTTGACAACCCGGAGCCCTTTTTACCGCTCTTTAGGTTTTTCTGGTAGTCTGGTCTGTTTTTTTGACAACCCGGAGCCCTTTTACCGCTTTTCAGGTTTTTCTGGTAGTCTGGTCTGTTTTTTGACAACCTGGAGCCCTTTTTACCGCTCTTTAGGTTTTTCTGGTAGTCTGGTCTGTTTTTTGACAACCCGGAGCCCTTTTACCGCTCTTCAGGTATCCCCAGTCGTTTGATCTGCTCTTTAAACGACTCCCGGACTCATGGAACACTCTTTTTGTTCTCGAATTGGCCTTTAATCTTAGTTCATTTGGACTTTGTATGGCTTTTCTACTGAGTCTTGCACTATTTAAACACACTCCGAACTATTCAACCATGACAGACCCTGGCAAACCACGCCTTGCACCCAAACCTTTCCTTTAAATTACTTGTGTCCCGCTCTACAATGTATTTTTAGACCTCATAAAATTCGAACAGGACGACCCATGCATACACTCCTATCCACACCGACACTTATGGAATATCTCTTATAATACTTAATGCTCTGGGCTATGAAAAATAATTGTGTTCCATTTTCGATTCGGAAAGCTTTCTATCTATGGCGCATATACACGCTTTATTTTACAATAAATTATTGTAATTAATTTTTTTTTTTTTTAATATATAAACATTTTGCCTTATTACTGTCCATTAACATTAATATAACAATGATTATCAGTATATGCTAGCATATTATCCCAACTGCCACTACCAATATGATGATGGAAAGTATGGCTAATATTATTACTCTCATCATTTAATAATATTATTGTATGCACAATTCAAGGCTCTCCTCTACCTAAACTGCCCCAGAATCAAGACTAAATCTATGGACCCTGATGCGCAGTCCATCAAATATTATGAATATCTATTGAACTTTGAAAACTATGACGCTACATTCGTGAAATGTGTGTGGTTACCTGAGATGTCGTTGGAGCCGATGAAATCGGGTCCGGTTCACTGCTCGCCGCTGATGCAATCCCAGCTTCAGGCGGGGGCTGTGCTACGTCCACAGAGGCGATTTTTATTCTCTTGACCTTGGGTACTGCCGCATCAAGTGGCCCAGCATCAACCCTTTCCAACATCATCTCGATGTTACGCTTCTGACCTCCATTTGGAGCTAGCGCTAAAGCATGATCTTTCCAACTAGAACTCATATCTTTGAACTGACTCGGGTCGTCCCAACCGTCCTCTACTAAACACTCAAAACATCGGGCAGAGATTTTGTATCTCGAGCAGAGGCCACGAAAGATCTTTGAGCATGGCTCCCCTGCTGCACCGTACGCCTCCTCGCTTTCCTGGAAAGAGTGTCAAATCAGAACTCATCTAGTTAAACTGAAAGGGAGATAGATACCTTTACACCAACATGTGTATGTCTTCATGTTATTACTGGTGTGTGTTCTTCCTGTTAATATAACTGTCGTTATATTTATTTTTGCCATTGCCGTTATATATGTATTCATAACATAAATATCGTTATAAAACACTTCGTGAACACTTTTGTGTTTTTCCCCAAGAACTGCATCCTAGAGAACCTACTATGATTTCCGTAATTATTTAATTTAACCCTGCTTTACTTAAATCATCACTAAACTCCTTCAAATGCCCTTTAAAAGATCTGTGGTAATGTACATCAAATAGTGGGTCGGCTCACCTCTACAATATCGTATGCTTCGCTCATCATGGAAGGAGTAGAACTGTCTTATTTCAAACTGTATAGGCTACCTGCCCACTACAGAAGCACGCCTATTCTCAACGACTCAATGCTCACGTATCGCTCTGCACTATACGCTGTACGCCATGCATGGCATTTACAGGTTTCTATGAAAACAAAAACTTGAGCCCCACCTTTGTTCAAAGGCTAAAACCCGGATAGGCTGATTTACAACCAGGGCCTATATACCATGCCCGCTCGAGCGTGGCCCGCCAGCTCACACGTTGGTTTGCAATGCCCACTCCCGATCGACTTGACAGAGACGCCTTTGCGACAGCCATTACAATATTTTCTGCTTACATCTATGCTTGCGCTCACCCTGTCCGACTTTTAAATACTTAACCTTTGCAAAACAAAGGCCTACATCTGACTAAAATGAGCCTACCGCCATAGCTCTTCGTTCAAGGGTTTCCCTGTGCGCCATTTGACTATGATGGCGCTAAAGTAGATATCGCACTACCGGCATCCTTAAAATGAGGCCAATCCAAACCATACCTTCAAATCCACGAATTCAGGGATGTGGAATGCTATTGTGAAAAGAGAACCTCACCAACGTATAGTGTCCGTAAACTGAAAACCCTGATGCCCATTTCCATGCGTTTCGTATATGACTCGGAGACAGATCTATAGGACACCCAGCTGCGGTCCCGCCAGAATCGCGACTGATATAAAATCATTCGCCCTCTACGCTAGCAGCGATGCAAATAGTATTACTATATATACCTCATGAATATTCATCGTGCAGCCTTGGCATTTCATTTGTCCATTCCAGCAACTCAACTGTGTGAAAGTTTTTACTATTTCCCCGCCTCTCCGCATGCGCGCGTGACGCGCAAAAACTATGGAGGTACCGGTACTATCACACACCTGGGTCGCAACCTTAGATTTTGTTCCAGTGTAGTACAGTGTTTTCTTTTACCAACGACGCCTAAGCTATAGTCTGTGTAATAGAACACGGCGAATTCCGTGGTCACGCGCTTTGTATAATGTTACGTGATATGGGGCCGGTTGTTGTTGTATTACAATGGAGCTATTAAACACTCCATGGTATTACAAAGCACTGCATTCGAATTGACCAATCAAACCATTTAGTCCTGATTTGGGAATGAAATTACGTCACGATTTAGTAAAGTCAACTTCGATTGGCTTGTGCGCGGCTTGAATAAACTTGCACGTCAGGAGATGTCAGACGTTATACAGGATTTGGCTCCGTGGATAACGGGTGATACTCAGACTAGGGCTTTACATGCGTACCCTGGAGATCGCCGGTGAGGACATCCAATTGTTTGTGCCAGTCTAGTCCAAAATGATCCCATAGCACAGTGGGCGCTGCCTATCAAAATGGCGACCGGTGGTGTTCGCTTTGTAATTTCTAACGAGGAAGAACTGGATGAAATAATTAAAATAATGACACAATAACAATTTTCTATTCTGTTTGTCAATATTTCAGTTTTTTTCAAATACTGCAAAATCAAAAACATGGTTGAATGGACCAATGAAATATCGCAGCTGCCTGATGAATATTTATGAGGTATGGTTAAACAGAAAAGAGGCAATGATAGTTGCTCTCTACCTGTTCGACTGCAGTAAATTCAGTTTCAAAGACTTTATAGGGCTCTGACGATGAATACATCGGTATTTCAATAGTAAATTTCGCGTACGATTTATACTTTCTTATAACTATTCAAGTACAATTCACTCTTACTAAGTAAAATCATTCAAGTTTTGACGGTGATATTTCTTTTCATCTTAAATCACATTGATTTTCACATTGATTTCCAAGTTTCAATTTTGTTTAATTTAGATATTAATACATCTGAATTAGATGTCCTTAACTTTAAAACGTGTGTCAATACGCACGTGCTACTCGATTATTTCCGAAGAATGAAGGGACCAGACGATTTAGAATAAACATCACTCAAATTTTAGATTGAAAAAACTCTGACAAAATAAACCAATCTAGTCGAACTCTAGAGGAAACTCCATCTATTCGATTGAATGAGTTTCAATCACTAGCGTCTGTTTCAGGCGCTTGGAGCTAATGTTTACTCGAATACATGTGCATTTGTTTTCTTTGAAAACCGTCGTCTACGTTTTCACGAAGAGCCACATATGTCAACAAATACCTTTTTTATATCGATTTGTTCGCTGTTTGGATTTAAAACATTGTACTTAACCATTTTGACATTTTCTGTAAGCAAAACATCGTTAATTTCCAAATTACATTAATGATGCAAGGGACAGTAATCTCGATAATTGCATTGTGCGTTTTCACAAAGAGCCACATACATTTTTGCCCCTTGAACACGTTCAAAACCTATTGCACGGAAAGGCGTAAAAGCATGTCAACTGAAATTTTCGTTATATCTTTGTTACATTCTCAGCTTTGCGTGCGTACACACTCGCGCCTAACCTATGGAAAAGCACGTTGAACCGAAAGGGCCAAAATGTCACCGAAAATGTAGAAATCTTGAATTTTCGTTTTCACGAAGAGCCATATATCTTTACTCATAATGTTCACAAAATAACTACTGTATTAATTATAATCACTGTGATCACGTAACAATTCAGCTCTCATAGAATTATATGATGGTTTCAATACTGCACAAAGTTGTTGCAAAGTAGTATTTTTGGCAGTTTTAAAGTAGGAGAAACTTCTTTTGCGATTATCTCGAAAACGCTTTTTCTTAAAAATCCACATAATGTGGATCTTCGTGAAAACAGGGACGAAATGAGAGTACTCTCGCAATGTAAAATAGCAAAAACTCACTCAGTGCACTGAATGTAACAATATTGCTGGTAAATTCTGTATTAGTATAGTGCTTGCATCAAGTGCCATTAATTTTTAAATGAGCGCTAGATTTCTAACTTTGCCTACCTGACTTTAGAATCGTCAGAAGATGACAGCAAAACGCGTTGTTTGTAGTTCATTGGCGGAATGTTTTTATGAGATATTTCAGCCATCTTTATGAAGAGCAGTGCCTCTTTTTAAATTAAAATGTAACAAACATCATATTCTGGTTAAAGACATGTAATAAATAAAAGGTAAATGTAGGAACATACAATGTATGTAAACTGTGCATGAGTAACTGGAGAGGACGAGTGCAGCAGAGTAGTCTTTTCTTTTGAGGTAATCATTTGTTAACCCGTTGCTATGGTTACTTGCTCAAAGATCCAAGTTGATCGATACATTATGAGAACCATCTCCATAGAGGTACGAACACAAACGGGACAATACATCAATGCACTCACTCGTATACGCCACAACACTATGTCTGGTGGTTTGAATCAAGTTTATTGTTTCGGAACGTGCCCGGAGACGAGGAGTAATCGAGCGAGCCAGGAGCGTTGAAGACCGGTGGCTGTCAATATTACGACCAAGGTTCTAATAACATTGATTTATGCCATGGAGATACCTTCACTTGGAAATATTATGCTACGTGTTTCGCTGGAATTCCAACTATCACTTTGCGTTGACGTCAAAATGGAGGAGGTTTGGGTTTTGAGTCGCTCAAGTAGACAGGTACTTGTCACCTGTCTTTGGTAGGAGCATAAAATGCATGTAACTGTGCATGAGTAACTGGAGAGGACGAGTGCGGCAGAATAGCGTTTCCTTTGAGGTAATCATTTGTTAACCCGTTGCTATGGTTACTTGATCAAAGATGAAAGTTGGTCGATAAATCATAAGAACCATCGCTACAGCTAGAGGTATGAACAGAATCGGGACAATACATCATTGTACGTATTCGTATACGTCTCAACGTGATCAATATGTGTGGTGGTTTGAATCAGGTTTATTTGTTTCGGAACGTGCTCGGAGACGAGGAGTAATCGAGCGAGCCAGGAGCGTTGAAGACTGGTGGCTGTCAATATCACGACCAAGGTTCTAATAACAATTGATTGATGCCATGGAGATACCTTCACTGGGAAATATGCTACGTGTTTCGCTGGAATTCCAACTATCACTTTGCGTTGACGGCAAAATGGAGGAGGTTCGGGTTTTGAGTCACTCACGTAGACAGGTACTTGTCACTTGTCTTTGGTTTTATACTTTCTTTTTAAGCTTGCCCACGTCTCAAGGTACCTCTTGTGGTCATGCACTCTCACAGGAATTCAATGCTGCTGAAAATCGAGCACTAAGAAATGCCACAATTTGGTCGGGTAGAGTTGGTACTCTTGTCGGCTGTGTGAGCCGGTGCCACTCTTGGCAAGCTTGCAAATCAGTCAATTACTTCAAGAACAATCGCAGGTGTGATATGAACAATGTTACGGGAGTCAATGTGCCAAACAATTTGGTTGCAGACTACGGGAGCGTGTACTTCGATGGTCATGGAGGCACACCTGAGGTCTCCGTAGCGGCTTACAGCGATTGCCAGAGTTTACTGAAGGCAGGTTACAGCGTGAGCGGTATCTATACGATATTCCCTGCGGGATTCGCAGATGGTCTAAGGGTGTACTGCGACATGGAGACAGACGGTGGAGGCTGGCTTGTCATTCAGAGGCGTCAGGATGGCAGTGTCGACTTCTACCGCGGCTGGGCTGACTACCGCGTGGGCTTTGGGGACTTGGCTGGTGAGTTTTGGCTCGGAAACGACAACTTGCGCACCTTGAGTAATTCTACTGGATCTTGGGACCTTCGAATCGATTTGGAGGACTGGGATGGCAACACGGCCTGGGCCGAGTACGGAGATTTCCGGATCTTAGGAGATGATTACAGTCTGAGTTTTGATTCGTACAATGCGGACAGTACGGCCGGAGACTCACTGACATTCCACAATCATTGGCCATTTTCAACGAGGGACAACGACAATGACTTGGTATCGATCATTAACTGCGCAGAGGACGTGCATGGAGCTTGGTGGTATGTGGCGTGTTCTCAGTCAAACCTGAACGGTTTGTATTTTAACTCATCATGGGAACAGAATGGAGATAGGCGAGGCATAACATGGGTTTTATGGAGGGGTGAACTTTATTCCTTGAACAAGTGCGATATGAAGACTCGATTAGCAATATGAGATTACTTAAACGCGTTATTTCACTTTGACCGTC